AAACCCTGTCTCAAAAAACCAAAACCAATGAGGGTAAGAAATAAAAGCAGACATCCAGAATATTTATCAGAATAAATATTTATTTTAATTTCTCTAAAAGAAGATTGAAAAGATGTCATTTATTTTATACTAAAATAACCAAATATTTAGCTGCATACTTTCTACAGTATATGTCATAAGATATAGAGAGGTGCAGAAGAAAGAAGTGATGAGAGAATTAAAATGGAAAGGCCTTTGGAATGGTGGGAAGAGACAAGTCCCCGTATTAGTCCATTTTTTGTTGCCATAACAAGAAATATGAGGGTAAGAGACCCTCTTGTCTCACAGCTCTGGAGACTGACAAGTCCAGTCAATGCACCAGCATCAACCCAGAGTCTACTGGTACAATAACACCACAGTGTGGGAGGCATCACGTGGACAGAGTTCATTTTACCTAGAGTTACTCTCATTATCACAACATTAGTTAATTATTGACTTGATTAATTTGGAGGTATCAATCAAACCAAACTCTTCCCTTCCCTAGATCCTTAACTATGTGCCTCTGGTGTCAAGGTCAAACATTTAATCAAGGTTGTAAGATAGCTTGGAGTAGAGTCTAGAGTCAGGATTTTGCAAACAGTTTTCTGTAGCTGTCTGCAAGATGACCTCGTGGACAGAGATCAGCAAGGGCCACACAAGGCCTTCAGCGCCCTCTGCTGTCCTGGACATCCTTCTACAGAACACCTCTCTTCTAATGGCACATCTGCACCCATGTGCATTTACATTTATACAATAAAAACATTGGTTACAGTATAAAGTCATGGGAGTGAGCATCTGTAGGAGTCACAGTGTTTTTGGAGTCCATGCTTTGTGTCACTAACTGCACTGGGAGGGCCAAGGAACGACAGCTTTGACATTCAGTGCACCAATCTCGTGTGGAAGGCAAAGGAATAAAGATGCCATTTACAATCAGGAATCAGGACAAGGACTGCAGTCATGGCTCAGTTTCTTTTGGCAGATCCAGCGGTTATCTGAAGAACAGAAGTCAGAAAACACTTCTGTCTGTGAGATGACTGCACAGCTGTTTTCTTCTTCAGTGCCCATGATTCTTAATCTAAAGAGCAAAGAATAGCTTCTACTAGTGTTTAGGGTTTTCTTACAATTATCCACATCAGCCATTAATTTTCTCTTGACTTTTAAGGATGCTGTAGATTACATAGTGTTTAAGCATACATAGTAAACACAGTAACAAACATTAGAAACACATGTAAACATTAAAAATACAGCTGATAGAAATGCTATAATTTTCAGATTTACTTTCACAGGAGAAGAACTCTAACAGCAAGAACCTTCGTAATAATGTAGAAAAAGGATGTTTGGGAATTGGGGGGTGAAAACTCCTTGTTCTATTACTAACATGCATGTGATCATGTTGGAAGTATCTTCATTTTACTGAGTTACAGATTTCTTAAATATTTAGTGTATTACCTGTTGCTGTTTGGAGAAGTCACTTAGATATGCATGGATGCATGACAACATTTACACAGAGTAGGTGCTCTGTAAATGTATTCGACACACAGAGTGAACACAGTGGGTCTACCAAATTGTATGCAGAGAAGAAATTCAGCTCATGTGGAAATGGAGTTCCAACCTGTCTCAACCCAGAACTGGTGGGTCTTTGCATTATCATAACACTAGTCCCACACTCAGGGTTCCTGGGATCACTGGAGGTTGAAATGACCAGAAGTCATGCACAGTCACAGTCATCTTCTTGGGTGATTAAAGGAAGGGGTGAGTTCAAGAGTAGGCTGTCTTGAACAAACGATGTCACCTATCAGGATTTAGGCAGGGTTCCCTCACAGCTGACATTTGCCTCTCATCATTTTTTCTTGGAGTCCCTTGCCCCTAAGTAGCAAATTTGATGTTGCCCTCGCGGCCAGCATGCTAATCAAACTATGAGCTTTCGCCGGCTGGGCTTCTGCAAATGTCCCTATTTTTTTTTTCATCCGTTAGCTTCTTTCTTCAGTCCGCAAGATTTTTTTCTTAAGGCCAATCTGTTCAAATCAATGACTTATTTTCAAAAAGTCTTTGATGGATTCCCAGGGATTCCCCAGCCAGACTTCTGGTGAGGGATCTAACATAATCTCACTTAATTCCCAAAATAATCCTGTTTGAAAAATTTTTACTTTGCCTCTGTTTCCCCAAGTTTCCTTATCTGAAAACCAGGGCTCTGGGAGTTAAAATAAATATTTACTTTGTGTATGTGAGAGAGAGAGTGAGGAAAGGGAGGGACAGAGGAAGGGTCAGAGCTTGTGTAGAAGTGAGAGAACAATTTTGGAGAGAGCCTCTCTTTCTATCTTGTTTCTGCCACTGTGCTGCGTGATGGATTCCCTTCTGTGTGCTGTGAATGCCATTGGTTAATAAAAAATGCTTTGGACCTATAGCAGAGCAGAACAGAGGTTGGTTGAGAAAACTAAACTGAATGCTGGGAGAAAAAACAACGGAGTCGGGAAGAAGCCATGGAGGTGCCAACAGAGACAGACATACCAAAACTTTGCTGGTAACCTACAGCCACCTGGCAATACACAGATTAATAGAAACTTGTTAATTTAAAATGTAAGAGTTAGCCAATAAGAAGCTAGAGCTAATGGACCAAGCAGTGATTTAATTAATACAGTTTCTGTGTGGTTATTTCAGGGGTCTGAGATGAACAAGCAGCCTCCATACAACAGCTGTGTACTCCAGGCTCGCTGGTTCAGGTGCATTTGAATGATTCTTCTGTCTCCACCTCCCATCTCTCTGCAGGAGTACTGGGATACAGATGTGCATCTCTTAATCTGGCTTTTTATATGGGTTCTGTGGACTGAACTGGGAAGTTTACAAAGCTAGAGATTTTACCCAGAGCCATTTTTCAGTCCAGTTAAAACAAAAGCCGGTTTGATGGACACTTTCCATTGTAGCATGATGGCTTCCAAATGCACCTGGTCACTGCTGTCTAATCAGAGTATTCTTTTATCCAAAGAGTAAAATCACACAGTAACTGAGCTAAATCCTTTGCTTTGCATAGATATCTCCACTTATAATCATATATTTACAATGAATCAAATTTAAGTAAGCATTTTGTATCATATCACAACAAAGAAATACACAGAGAAACACACACACAAATGAACCCCTACTATGTATGAAAATGTTTTTAAACAGCAATGTTTATACTGATTCTGTCTAGAGAAAGAAAGTTCATAATATGCTATGCTGCAACTTTGTTCTAAAGTCTTCCTTAAGAATTACTGTGTAGGGGGCTAGAGAGATGATTTAGGAGTCAACAGTATTTAATGATCTTACAGAGGATCCAAGTTCAAATTCTAGCACCCATATGGCCTCTCACAGCCATCTGTAACTCCAGTTCCAGGGAATCTGACTTATGTAGGCTTCTGCATGCACATAGTACAAATATATACACTCAGACACACACATATAAAATAAAACAAATAAAAGAAAAAATTTAAATTATGTGTAAATATAGGAAGTACAAAAATTGGGAAAAGAAAAACCTATGTAATCCAGATAGAAATTTTAAAATATTTTATCTCTTTTATCTCCAACCTTAAGAAGTTAATCTATTCCTTTTCCTTTAAAACTCCTTTGAAAATAAATACAAACATACACATACACACACTTTCTCTCACACACACATGCATACACACACACACACACTCTTATAAATGGTTGATGTCTACTTGAACATGAAAAATTTCAACCAATCTTGGAACTGTCTTTTCAGCCTATTCTTACCCTCTCAAATACTTATATACTTATTTAAAATTACAAAATTAAATTTTCAGTGACATGGATGTAAATTGAATATTCAGATTAGCCCTTTTAATACTTACAAATCAGGATTTAATATGGAGCCATTTATCCACTTCCAGGTTTTCTCTGGTGGTACATAATTTAGTCCAATAAAAAACTGCTGTCTTTTTCTCTTTGAGAAATCATGAATGAATCTCTATAATCAAAACAGAAAGAAAGACTTAGTCCATAATGTTTACTTGTGACTTACTTTTTTCTGCCAACCTTCTAAAACTGTTACTTCTATTTCAAGTCTATCCTAACTCCCCAGCAGTAAATTTTCTCTTCTTTGTGAAATTCATCTCTATATATTTATACTTTTAATAGACTCGTCACACTATATTCAGTTATTAAATCATAAATCCAATTAGTCTCTGAGATTACAAGATATTTAAAATCTAAGTCTCCACTTCCTTAGCATAGACAGTTGGTTAAATGCCAGAGGTATCAACATAGCTTAATGCAAGTGTTATATGTTCTACTGAGCAATTTACCATTTCTTCTTCATTTTCAATGAGCAGCAAAGTGGCTTCTTTCACAGAGCAGTAAGTTAGACCTTCAGCCCAAGGTCCAGAAGTTTGAGAAAGATGTAAGCATTTATCCTGGTATGGATGCCAATCTCTCGGACACTTCAGTATGACTGATCTTCCTAGAGTGAAAAACAAGACATGTTCTATTTTGGTCTTTTTCCTGCTGCATGACAGCTTCACATAGTAGTTGCTTCATTAGCTCATGCTGGAACAAGATCAATGCTCTCATATGGCAAGGAATCATAATTAATGACAAAGGATTCATTTTATGTTTTGTTTTTATTAATTAACCTCAATGTAAGCTGTACAGAGTGTTCCTCAAAATAATCAAATATTTCACTTTTAACTTGATGTCTGCCTTTCAAGGATCATGTGCGTCAGCAGCATGGTCAAGGGACTAAGATGATAGATATCAAGGTCACAGAGCTTCGGTGCAGTTCCCAGCATCAATAATTATAAACTGTGTGACTCTTCATGAGTTCCTAACATTTTATGGCTGTTTTCTCAGAAAAAAAAAAAACATAGTGATATAATGATCCGTGGAGGGCTATTGTGAACTTTGACTGAAGTAACTGACAGTAGATATCAAAAATCACCTCTTATTCTTAGGAAATTCAAGACACACAATTACCTGTTGATTCAGTCCTGTTCTCTTGAGCAGTCACACTGTATTTTTCTGTTGGTGATTTTTGCACTAAGAATCGCACTATTAAATAAGAAAACACATAGAAAGAATTAAATACTGAAACAAATGGTGGAATGTGTATTCTGTTTCTCTGTCGCAGGATATTTGATCATTACTGTGAACACAAAGATTGAATTGTTTAAATAAAATCAACTGTAGGTCAAGAGGTGGACCAAATAACCAGCTGACTAGAAATAACCACAGAAAGTTAGGGAAAGTCAGGAGCTGAGCGGGGGGTGGGGGTGAGGCACAGGAAGTAGAAGGGAAGGACCACATCTTAGTGGAGAAGATTTTGTTTCATTTGGTGTAGGAGAAACTATTGCTGGGACAATAGCTGTAGCAGGCTTTTTCTTTGGGCCACCAGCACACAAATAATGAAATGCAGACTTATTATTAATTATGAAAGCTCTGCCTTAGCTTAGGCTTGTTCCTAACTAGTTCTTATAACTTAAATTATCCCACATTTTTAAATCTGATATTGTTTTTTTAACATGGCCAATTACCTTTACTCTGTGATGTTCATCTTGTTTTCTCTGTGTCTGTCTTGTGACTCTGTCTTTCTTCATCCCCAAGACCTTGTGTTCCTAGAATTCCCACCTAACCTCTTCCTGCCTAGCTATTGGCAATTCAGCTTTTTATTAAACCACTCAATATGTCACAGTGACACATCTTCACATAACATAAAAAAATATTCCACAACATTTAACCCTTTTGTCTAAATAAAAGGGAAAGATCTAAATTCTAACATACTAAAACTATAAATAATAAGAACAATGATCAGGTAAGAACTGCATACACAATGTTCATTTGAAGAAAATGCCCTACCTTATCTTGATAAATGCATCTTATCTTGATGAATTTAAAGTTTTATACCTAAACCATTTTCTATCATAACTTGTATTGCCATCTGAAAACTATCTTTTTGGACCTCAAACCATTTTTTGAAAAACAATTTAAGCTTTTATGTCTCTCAACCTTATACATTTTATACCTCTTTTGTGAGTGTCTTCTTTGAATTTGGTAAGAAAGAAAACTGTAACTATAACTATCTACTCTTCAACTCTGTCAGAGGACAAAGAAGGATATAATATTACCTGAAGTAACAAGATGTACAGACCAAGCAATTTTCAAACCTATTGAAATGACAGAAACAGCTGGCAGCCTAGACAGTCACCCAAGGTTCTTCTATAACATTGGGTATCCATCTTTGGCCTACAGGCCTAGAATATTTGACAGACTTTTCTCTGAAGCAAGAATTTTTGAAGGACTGTCCTATCCTATCTTGGCAACATTTTTCAGTTGCTTTCTTTTGTGTCCTGCTTGTCCAATTTTGGCAGCATAATGTCATAAGTCAGGGCAATGACAGTTTCTTGCCCAAATGGCTAGCTTTGGCCACAAAAAAAGCAAACTTCATATGAAGGTTCTTCTATGTCCATCATCCCCTTTTGAAGTAAATTAGTGTTGCCAGGAGTAGGTGTGTCTCACTGTCATGAAAAGCCTTATACTATTAAAACATTTTAAATGCATATTCTAATAGATCTTTGAAGAGTTTGAAGATCACTTATCTATCTAAAATATCTCTGTATGATCTTGAAACTATACCTAACTTGACTATAAGTTTGATTTTTATATATGACTATTAACATGTCTTTTTTATTATCATAAATAGCTTTCAAGAACTAATACTTTACATTATATTTTTAAATGAAATGTATAGATATAATACCTTAAACAAGAGTAGAAAATATATATAGTATAACTAAAATAAGCTTGGCTTTGTATAAACATACAAGAATCCATACTAATGTAAAATATTTGAGACTAGTGGTTATTCAAATGTAGACACAACAATCTACCCTTTTATCCCATCATTTCATATAAAATATACCCTTTTTCTTTTCAGAAAGAGATTCCTGAATATTTTTTAATCTGCATTTTTTAATGAGGCTTGGTAACCTGTACTCTGTACTGTCCATCCTGCTTCCTCCTCATCTGACTGGTGACTTTGACTTTTTTTTCTTCCCTGAGACCTCTCTGCCCCCTAGAAGTCCCACCTAACCTCTTCCGGCCTAGCTTTGGCCATTCAGCTCTTTATTAAACCAGTCATGGTGACAAATGTTCACATAGAATACAGAATTTTTCTACAGCAACCAGCAGAGAAGGAAGATGATCCAGCTGCTTTCCCTGCCTCTCTGAGCTGGCAGGTTTCTGACTCTGAAATCTTCACTGGTAAAATACAAAGATAGAGTCTTAGTCAAAAACAACATTTGCCTCCCTACATGGAGGTGTCTAAGGTAGTGGCAAGGGTGGGCAGTGGGACATGAAAGTTCCCCCGGGTTACAGTCTCAAAAGCGAGGCTGTGTTTGCAAAGGTGTATTCAGGAGCTGAGGCATTGGTAGTTTAAGGGACAGCCACTATGCTGCAGATAAAGCAATATTTCTCACTTCAGAAAATCAAGTTATTGCAAAAAATCTGAGCATATGGACTGAGAAAAAAATATCATCAAACTGGATTGAGACAAGCGTGGAGTAAGGATATGTGAACCAGAAAAGCACAGAATACATGGCAGCTCTGAGGTTGCATATGGTCTGATTGACAGGTCAATGTGTGGGTGCTCACAGTCACACCTGAGTTTGCACTTCTTCAATCACTCCCATCGCAAGAGAAGGTGGAGGTATGTAATAAGCTAAATATGGGGACTTTTTGGTTTCCTTGATTTTTTCACATTTTTGTCACACTTGTGACATATTCTTCTGTAGTTCTAGATACACATATGACCCACCCCATGTTTCTCAGGAAAATTGAGAAGCATGGAAACGATGTGAAGTTTCTATAGTGGACAATGGACAAGGAATGTTGCCCTGTAGTATTCAATGTCATTGACCTTCCCCTTAGTCTCCAGGAGGTGAAATGGTATGAGGAAGACTTATAAGTTTATGAGGGAAAATTCTGAAGCTAAGGCTCTTACTTCACTTACCTAAGACACTGAGTCCAATCAGGCCCAAGAAAAGAAGGATCAGCCCAGCACAGCCAAGTTTCAGAGCCAATGGATGCCAGTGTTGGCCCTGATAGGTATCTAAGAAGTGCAACATAAACACTTGTTAAATCCACTCGAGGAGAGCTACATGAGATAAAAATCAAAGGTGGTCTTGCAACTACATAAGACACCTTAACTTCAAAGACTCTTTTCTGCATTCCTAGTAGATTGACCAAAAGTGGAGTTAGTGCGACACTCTATGTGTACTGTTTTACAAACACACACACGTGTGTGTGCATGCATGTGCAGAGAGAGAGACAGACAGACAGAGAGAGAGAGAGAGAGAGAGAGAGAGAGAGAGAGAGAGACCGTCTCCTTGTAGGATTTCTGATTGTAGGTGCAGAGTCTGTGAGATATTAACACCTGCCCCAGAGACCATAGCATGCTGGATGCCAACAAGGAAACACTTAAATGGAAATTAAGATTTTGCCTTTAGAGATGGCATCACGTCAAGCAGACTGATCATGGCAGGCCTTCCTCTGAGATGATGCTGGAGCCAAGCCCTAAAAGAAAATTATGGAATATTTGTGTACACTGTAAAGATCTGTCTCTGCCCAAGTTGCCTTACAATACGTTTAATAAAGAGCTGAATGGCCACTAGCTAGTCAAGAAGGGGTTAGGTGGGACTTCTGGGTACAGAGTGGACTTAGGGAAGAAGAAGAGCAGGGTCGTCAGTCAGACAGGGAGGAAACAGAAGATGTAAGATGAGAGAGAGGTAAAGCCATGAGGCAAAAACATAGGTTAATATAAATGGGTTAATTTCAGTTGTAAGAGCTAGTTAGGAACAAGCATAAGCTATAGGACAATATTTCAAAATAACAAGAAGTCTCCAAGTCAATTTTTGTGAGTTGGTGTCCCAAAGAAAATTATGTTTACATCCAATATTATGTTGTACTGCATTATTTAATGTTATATAATGAAAATTTAAAATGAGTGTTCTTAATACTAGACTTTGTAAAAATCATCAAAATAATGACTGCATGAAGTTTTCTCTATTTTACAAAAATTGGATTTCAAGAGTAGAAAGAGTGAGAAAAAGTAGAAATATGAAATAATACACAAATACAAAACAAGAAACATGACTCGTTAGGCTTATTTAATGGACTGTAGTGTTCAGGAGAAATTCTAGGCTATTTTAAATACATTAGTCTCCTCATATTTCGAGTATCTCTAGGAACCTTGTCCCATAACACAACATGTCCTACAAGGCAGAAATGACAGCACAGGATCTCATTCCTCAGGCTCAATGCCTGTGTGTTTCTTTCCGTGACAATCTTGTGTCACCTTTGACCACACAGCATTGCTCACTGTCCACAGAAGATTGCTTATAAAACCTCTGCATATGAGATCAAATCTCTTCTATAAAATGTGTTATTTGCACAGGACCTGTGTGCTTATCCCTGTGTGCTTTAGATAATCTCCAGATTACCTACAGCTTCTAAGATGATCATCATCATCCAGACCAGTGCTTGACACATTTAGGGACTCATTTCTGAGTGAATGCATGATCTCTGTGCACCTTTTTAGCCACCCTACGATCAAAGCAAACTTTTGATCATTTGGCTACAAAGCAGGTCACTGCCCATGTCTCTCTTTCTGTATTTGTTTGTTGGTTCACTGGGAGATCTAATCATCATGCTGTGAATTACCTGCAGTTTTGAGCTGTTTAGCTAATTGGTCAAGGCTGTTTCACTTCCTTCACTAGAGTCAGTGCTTTCCCTTTACGGGCTTTGCTCTGGCTTTATTCTACTGCTTTTGTCCTTTGGGTTCATGTCCAAGCTGATGCTTTGTAGGGTAATAATCATAATGAGGGTGAACAAATTTTCTGGTCTCTTGGTTTGGGATCATGGGTGGTAGTGTTGAGGAAATCTCATTCTTTCTCAACTTTCATTTTCTCATATCCATTTAAACAAGGCCTTCCTCATCATTTTGCTAGGCTTAACCACAGGAAAATAAAAGCGTGTTTCTTTCTATCGTACCAGCAAAAAGAATCCTTCCAGCAGTTTCAAAGCCTCCACTGTCCCCTGACCCTGATGTGAAGATGACAAAGAAGCAGATTTGATGATTCTGTTTCCCTGACCTTAACTTTTTTTTAATTATTTACTTGCTTTAAATCACCAAATGATTTGGAGTTTGAAGTTTGGGTGTATAAATAAAGAAAATTTTTCCTAAATACATGTGAACTACCTTTAAGAAATAAGAGAAGGAAATAGGAGAGCAAAAAGCAAAGGAAGGAATGAGGGAGAAAGGTAAGGAGGGAAAGAAGAAGGTGGGAAGGGAGAATGGGAAGGAGGGACAGAAGGAGAGATAAAGGGAGTGAAAAGCAAGTTTGTATACTCTGAGCTAACCTCAGGACACAGCGCCTCATATCAGGAGAGATACATCATATCCAATGATATAATTAGAGGAATGGGCAGTTGTATCTCACACAGATTAGGCCATACTATACATTACATTTTAAACATTGTCATTAATTTTTCCGTAACACTGAAATAACTGACAGACTTTAATTACTACACAGAAAAGTGATTAAAATTTCAGGAAGAACAGTAACATGATAGTTCTATTGATTCCTTGTGGTAGAGTTCAAAGCCTGTCAATGCAATGTTTTCCTTCATGGCATCATCCTATTACATAATGACTATGAGAGGTTTGTCCAAAGCAATAGATTAAATTTTTGAATGACCAGTATCATCAATGATTGTTCACAGTACATAACCCTATAAACACACTTTTCTTTTTTATTTTTTTTTTTTTTTTTTGGTTTTTCGAGACAGGGTTTCTCTGTGGCTTTGGAGCCTGTCCTGGAACTAGCTCTGTAGACCAGGCTGGTCTCGAACTCACAGAGATCTGCCTGCCTCTGCCTCCCGAGTGCTGGGATTAAAGGCGTGCGCCACTATCGCCTGGCCTTATTTTTTTTTTGTTTTTGTTTTGACCTTAACTTTTATAATTTAATAGTTCCTAATCCAAAATCTTAAAATGTTGATAATCACATAGCTTCCAACATGTAGAAATAATGTCAAATTGAAAATGTTGCAATGTTATTGATATGAGTAAGGTCAATTAGATCATAGAATGCAATAGTTTCTCATGACAATTTGACACATTTTCTACCTCAGTTTCTGGCTTTTCATATTCACTCTGCCATGTTATCCTTTGAGCATTACTTCAGTCTTCCACATTCTTTCATTCCAATTACTGAATTCTCTAGGAGAGGAGAGGGCTGGTTTACCCAGAGCTGACTGCCAGGGGTGCAAGTGCAGTAGGACTGAGTTCAAGTGTTTGTTCTGTACTAGAATGTCAGTCTGCAATGTCTCTAAACACGCTTTTCTGTTCGTATGTGAAAAATATTATTTCTTCGGGGTCTTGTGACTAAAACACTGAATAGGAGAAGCCCTGTTCACGTTTCATGAAGTCTAGTCATACAAAATGGCAGTGTGTATGCTTTTTCTTCCCGATGTTGTAGTTGTCTACAGGCAAGCTGTCCTACACTAATCAACAATGCTAAGAATAGCACAGCTTCAGAGAAATAACTTTTTAATTCATTAGTGTGTGTGTGTGACAGAGAGAGTATTGTGTGTGTGTAAGTATGAGTGTGCATGTAACTGCAGGTGTGTGTGTGTGTGTGCCTATGTGTGACTGCAGGCATATGGATGCCACACTAGGTGTAGAGGTCAGAGAACAACTTTCAGGAGATGATTCTTTTCCACCAAAGGTATTGGGAATTGAACTCTGGATGTCAGGTATTTGGAGCAAGTGATTTGCCTGAAGACTCATCTCACCATCCCAAGCAAAATTGTTAAAACTGTTAAAACTGAAACACAATGGGAATCTTAATTCTAGAAGATATCCAAGTACTTACCTGGGGGAAGAGATGGGGTTGACGCACGCTTGTGTCTTGGGGTCCTCAAGGTCTTTGCATCGCCACAGACTCTCAATGGGTCCATTGTAAGCTTGAGATGTAAACTGTGAACTGTGACAAGTTCTGTGAGGTCAAATGACAAAAGGAAATCCTCTGTGAGCACTCTGCTCTGCACCCACACTCACCCACACTTGAAGCTAGGGTTTTTTCCACAGTTACTGAACATGGGGTCCACTGTGATCACATGGTTTCCAAGTTCTTATCTTTCAAACAGAAGACGCAACACATAATCTACTCTGAACTTCCGGTTCTTCTTCCTTCAATCATCTGTCTTCAGTTACTTTTCCCCGGCACAAGCAAACAAAGCAATCAATATCGAATTAAAATTTGAGGACTCCTCCCCACTGCACTCCCAGGAAATGTTCTGTGCCATGTCGTGAAAACAAAAACATGTGAAAGTCGTCTTTTCTCTTTGACAAGAATTGAAGCTATAAAACCCTCCTGAAACATTCCTGCTGTGAAGGAAGCTGTGAAATGTGGAAATGAAAATGTGAATGTGGATTTGTAAAAATTAATAATTAAAAGAAACGCATGACTGACATAATAGGAAAATCAGTGAGGAGGGAAGCACACATCTTTCAGCCTTGTCCTGAGGTTGACACAGATGTAGCAATGTTCGCCTGAGTTAAGGACTTCACCTTTCAGGGCTACAGAGAGAAAAGGACATGGGTCTATGGGATGTGCTAACTCCTCCAAGGACTTTCAGGCCTAGAGCCTTAGAGCAAGGACCACACCTAAATCAGAAGTTCTCATATCACAAGTGAAAAAGAAGAAGAAAAGCGAGGATTTCCTTAAAATCATTTTCTGTGGTTGGAGTGGAATTGTACCAGGTGCTCACAATTACATGACCATGGCAACAGTCTGCAGGCTGTGAGTTCCAGGAGTCAGGTGCACACTCACAGCGTGGAGAGCACATTCATTTCCCAGGACCACTGATGATTACAAAGTGAGGGGAAGCATGTTAGGGTCTCAGAATGAACATAAGACTCAATGAAAACTCCTCAGTTGCCACTCTTTGATGACAACCATTTTACTCAATGCCAAGCGTAGGACCCTATAGTTGCATTTCATTTGTTTTTAATAAATAAGCTTGTCTGAAATTAGAGAGTAAATCAGCTCCTCTGGACAGCCTTACAGACCAGGCAGTGGTAACACACACCTTTAATCCCAGTAGCCATACTAGTTTGCCGTAGAAACCAGGCGGTGCATGCCTTTAATCCCAGTGGTCCACAGTTTTAATCTCAGACATAGAGAGGATTATAAAATGGGAGGAGACAGTTCTCAAAGTCTCATTCTGAGATTCCTGGAGGATCACCATTTTGGACTGAGGTTGAGGAAAGAGCCAGTAACTGGCTGCTTTGCTTTTTGGATCTTCAGGTTAAACACCAATATTGGTCTCTGAATTTTTATTGATCATGCTTCAGGGTTCTGCCTTATTCTTCAACTGAACCTAAGATTTCAACAACTGTACAAGACTCTCCAGAGTTGTCCATCTTGAGTGATTCTATAAAAAAATTCTAGAAAAATTATCAACTCTAGCAGACAGAAATTTCAATGTATATTATATAAGAATCTCAGGGTTTATTATATTATAATTACCTGGAAGTGTGATAATGATGCATGCTCCTGCCACATAAACTTCTTTTGTCAAGATAGCATGCCCTTACATAGGAAATGTGTGAATAAACATTCCAGCATTAAGTTCATTCATGGAACACATTTAAGTAAACATTCCTGTGGGATGAACAAGAAATATCACTAGAGCGAAGAGAAGTCTGATGCTCTGAGGAGAAGAGTCAATTGATGCTGTCAGGACACTGAACTTCAGCTGTAAGATCTAACCTGTCTGTAGCTACTAGAAATCCACAATAGCTCTGCCATTCTTGGCAGATTTCAGGTAAAAAAAAAAAAGATTTCTAGCAAAGATGCTTACAGGTGCCTCTATGCCACAAAGTGTGAACTAAATGGAAAAACAACCAGAGATTAGTATCATTTGTCCACAAGAGTGTGAAGTAAACTGACCACTTGTGAGTTACAGAATATCAGAAACAGCACCAATTACTGTACATGTATACAGTCATCATCATAGAGATAAAAATAAAACCCTCCTGAGATTGCACTTCTAGAGAATTTAGCTGTGCTAATGATGTCTTTTGACCACCTGATTGCCAGAATATTTTAGTATGAGACAGATAGATAGATAGATAGATAGATAGATAGATAGATAGATAGATAGATCGATCGATCAGAATTCAGAATTACCTTGGTCTTATCACAATGAAATAGATGGAGAGAAACAGACAGAAAGACAGAGAAGGTGTGAGAAAGACTACAACATGGTGTTACATACAAATATGAGATACTAAATCAAAGTAAGTCAAATAGTGAGTGATTCTAAGTAATACAGGATTTCAGAGTGTGGCAACAGTAAAACCAATATTGAGTGTCTCAAGAAGAAATACAAGTTTTAACTAGAAGCCTCTTTTCATACCAAACCTGTCCAGATTAATAATGGAAGTTTGGATGTATAGAAAAATGAGTAAACGATAAGAAATCGTACTCTCTAATGTGAAAATGAATGTAATAAAGTAATAATGTTAAGCAAGAAGGTAAAAATTAAAGCCAGAAAGTAATAATTGTCAGGAAAGATCATATGCTTTGGGCTAAAACTACAAAAAAAAAAAGAAAAAAGAAAATAGAAAGAAAAAGGAGTGGGTGACATGAAGAATGCCTCACCAGGAAACTACAAAACCTCCTCCTTCTCCACAGAGGCATTGCTTTAGGCACTGCCACACAGACCAGAGCACCTTGGTGAGAATTCTGGAGACTAGCTCGGAGGGTGCAGTGAGAGTCCACTTTAAAACCAAGGAGATGCATTAGGGGGTAGGTAACTGGTGCAGCTCTCTCCTGCTTCATCCTGCAGAAGACCTAGGAGGAAACCTCCCACACTGTTGAGAGACAGATCAATCTACTTCTAATTTAGTTTGGTTTCTTGTTGCTGTGAAGAGACACCATGCCCATAGCAACTCTTATAAAGAAAACATTTAATTGTGGTGGCTCGCTTACATTTTCAGAGGTTCAGTCCATTATCATCATGATGGGATCATGGCAACGTGCAGGCAGATGTAGTGGAGAGGTACCTTCAGGGAACAGGAAGCCAACTGTAAGTCACGCTGAGGAAGGTTTGAGCAAAAGAGACCTCAAAGCCTGCCTCTACAGTGACACACTTCCTCCAATAAGGTCACACCTCCTAATAGTGCCACTCCCTTTGGGGGCCTTTTCTTTCAAATCACCAGTGTCCAAGGCTTTCTCAGAGGCCCTGATGAAACAACAAAAGCAACTAATCCCTTGTTGTTGCCAAGGATGAACTTGGAAAGGCTAGTCTGGGGCTGGTGATAGGGCTGGAAAGGTCTTAAGGTTTCAATTACTGGGAACTTGGATTTTCCCATATAAAGACTGGAGCTGTCAGTTCTGAGCCCACTGTGTTCTTGGTCTGCCATGTTCTTTCAATACTCATGGTCTCTTTGCAAATCACTGCTTGGTTAGCTTCCTACTGACTCCATCCCACTGTATGTTATCTTTCTTCCGGCGCTGCCCCATTTATCCCCTGCAAATAGTGTATAAGATGCTGTATCTCTTAATAACTTTGCTTGGAATAAAGCACAGCTTCTGTAACTCATCCCAAGATTACCTTCATCTTCTTTATCTCTGATCCCCTGAACCTTCTTTCTCAGCAACCTGTTGCTGAAAAGCAACCTGTTGGTCAGGGTCATCAAAGACAGCCTCCTTCTTTTCAATGAAACAAAATGGGTAAGAATAAAATTTTCTGGCTTGTTTGGGATACTTGACAAGTGTTTCTGAATTGTCATACTTGGACTACCAATGGACATGTCACCAGTGTAGAGCCCCCGAGTAATAGAGGAAAGCATGGTTGAGGCACAGTTCATGGGCAGGCAGTAGAAAGAGAAGGAGGCAAGAATATATTGGTTTGAGAAACACAATAACCTCAAACTAATGGAGTTTACCTCAGATAAAGACCTTGCAAAGATTAAAGATGATACTGTTTTTTTAGATGCCCAAATCATAGGGAAAAAATTAAATAGCAAAGGATGGCCCAATAAAAGGAAAAAAAATACTTATTAAACTAAAGCATCACAGATTGTAAGTTGCTTAGGACATAATTTTCTGTTTTGCATATGTAAATGTATATGGTATGTGCGCATGTGTGTATGTCTGTTTACATGGGTGTAGGTTAGTATCTGTGGTACATGTGTGTGCTGGTGGAGGCAAAAGTGTGGGGACCCACAGAAGTTGACCCTGCTCCACCTTGACTGGAGGGCAGAGAGTTTGAGCTTATTTTTGCTCTTTCAAAGTTGTTGACAACAGGTGTGGCTACACACCCTGTGACCTAGGCTGTGGTTACTTAGTGTTTTGGACATTAAAATGGACCACCAAAGTGGATCTGCTCCATTCTGACCAAAGGTCAGAAAATTCAAGCCTATTCCTGCTTTATCATTTTAAAATAGGATTTGACATAGGGAGTGGCTGCCTGCAGGATACTTGGTCTAGGGTATATTCATTGCATATCTTGCCCAAAACCTCAGAATGCTTAACTCAGAAAATAGTGGCCTAATGTTTTAAGTATTGAAGCAAGTAACTGTTCTGGCTGTCCTTTGTGTCATGTTAAAGCAGTCTTTTGCCTTCTCCCCCTCCCCTTTTTTTGTATTGGGGCATAAACGCATATGAAAAATAAATGTGGGCAGATTCAGTACTCAGTATACACTTGAGTTGCCCTCCCAGTACTATCCTGTGTCTCTGCGTTTCTTTCATATTTCCATTCCTCCTACCTAATGTTCCTAATTCACACACCCCTACCCTGGAATGTGCAAACCCATCATGGCTAGTCCACGACAAAAGTCACCCCAAAATGTGGCTTATGACGCAATAGTTTGCTATCAAGTCTCTTTGATCATGATCTACTTTAATTACTGCATTGAGGTCTCTTAACAAGTACAAAGTCCTTTGATTCCATTATTCTAGTTATGCAGCTTGTTCCAGTGATCCTGTCTCCATCAAGGATCTGGGATTGTTGATGATGTTGTTCCTCCCAGTTATTTGCACAGGCGTTGGGGTCTGAACTCTTACTGCTTACATGGGAGTGGTTGACCTACTGAGCCTTCTCTCCAGCTCCTGGACACAAAATCCTTAAAACTTGTCATACAGATGTTCATGGACACCACAGAGAAACAACTCTAGGAAAGCAGTGCATGGATAAATTATACCAATGAAGATGTAGAAACCATAAAGAGAACCAAACAGAAATTATGGGTAGAAAAATACAATCACTGAACTAGTTTAGTTTTAAGCAAGGATGGGGTTAGGAGGCTGGAGGAGAGAAGAGGTAGAGAATGGGTTAAATAAAACTAAGAATGTATGAGAAAACCTTACCGAAACCCAATAATTTGTAAGTGTGGTAATTTGAATATAATTGGCCCCCATTATCTCACAATCCCATAATATCATAGGGAGTGACACTATTAAGAGGTGTGGCTTTGTTGGAGTGGGTATGGCCTTGTTGCAAGAAGTGTATCATTGTATGGGCGGGCTTTGAGGTTTCATATACTCAAAATACCACCCAGTCTGTCAGTCAACTTCCTTTTGTCTAAAAGATGGAGCACTCTCAGCTCCAGCACCATGTCTGCCTGCACGCTGCCATGCTCCTCTTCGTTATCATAATGAACCAAACCTCTCAAACTGTAAGCAAGCCGTCCTCAATTGAATGTTCTCTTTATAAGAGTTGCTATGGTCATGGTGTCTCTTCACAGCAATAGTAAACCCTAACTAAAACAGTGAGTCCGTTTAAGCTTGATATATTCGTAAAGGAGTTTGAGGTGAGTTATCCTGCCTAGGTAGGCAACACTGCTCCCAGAAGATTTGGGTTATTAAACAAATGTCTCAGTGCCTGGCATGGGATAGCCTACAAGTTCTTGGTCAGGGAGACATCAAAGGTTCCCAGAACAACACAGAATATTATCATTGTCCTTGACTGTCCACAATTACTATTAGCTAAGACCTTATTGCTGAAGATAACACATGGTTATCACATAAATAAAGCAACCTGAACCAGAAACCTCCAAGCTGCTGATCAGCTTTCATAACGCTGGAAGGCACTGTGCAGCTGCTGAGGGAGAAGCCATCAATGGTACCGCCCCACAACACCAACCATGCATACAAAATGATCACTGGAGCCGTACTGTTATGAAGGTTATGGGGTAAACAACTGGTTTCAGAATGAGTCTGAGGTCCCCTACTCCACAGGAGAGAATTTATGCCTAGTCCTGTATATGTATTGAAACATGGTGTGGTGATTTGAATATAATTGGCTGCCATAAAATCATGCGCAGTGGCTGTATTAGGAGGTGTGGCTTTGTTGAAGTAGATATGGCTTTGTTGGAGGACATGTGTGGGTGGGTTTGAGGTTTCCTATGCTCAAGATACTGCACAGTGTCTCAGTCCATTTACTGTTGCCTTCTGATCAAGATGTAGCCAGCCCCATGTCTGCCTGCATGCCACCATGATGATAATAGACTGAACCTCTGAACCTGTGAGCACCCCAATTAAATGTTTTCCTTAAAAGAGTTGCAATGGTTATGTTGTCTCTCCACAGCAGTATAAACCCTGACTAAAACAATGACTATGGAGATCATAGGCCCAAGGTAAGAACCTATTGTTCTTTTGGCAAATGGCCATGCTGTTGTACTACCTTCTAAATAACTAAGCTTGTCCCCATAGATTAATGATGCTCTTCACCTTGATCGGTGAAGCATTTTTTTTTGTAGTCAGCAATGATAAATACAGTATGAGTGTAACTGCTCGAGGTGCTGAGATTAAGTAACTGTGAGTGCCCAGCCTTAAATGTGATGTCTATATTAATTCCCACACAAGGAACATCATGGAAGAAGCAGGTGATAAAAATGCAAAAAATACCCTGAAATTCTCTCTCCAGATATGATATGGTCATTGCTCTTACAAACTCACAACTGTGGTTATGTGCACAAAACCATGCCTGTCAAAATTCCAGCATGGGCCAGGTGTAGTGTCTCATGACTTTAAAACTAGAGGCAAGGAAAGTGTATCCTCTGTGAGTTCAAGGCCAGCCTGGTCTATGTAGAGAGTTCCAAGGCATGAGATGACTGACAGATTACAAGAATTATTACTTTTCTGTAACCCTTACATCATTTAAAAAAAATTAAAGGGAAATTTTTTTCAATTCCATTGCCAATGTTATGAAACAGACTGGAATATTTAGGAATGAAGCCAATTACAGGTGTGAGGGATTTACACAATGAAAACAGTAAAACATCTTGAATTAATGGACTGAATAGCAATATTCTTGGAACTATCATGTTACACAAAGTATCTATGATTTCAAAACATTCCTTATTAAAATCTTAATAAAATGTTTGCAGAAATAGAAAAACTTATCCAAAAATCTAAATGGAATTTCAGAGGATTTTAAGCATTAAAAACAAACTTGGAAGACACATGCGCCTAATTTGAAAAAATATTAATAATTTATTGTAATCAAAACAGTGTGGTTTTGGCATAGATACAAACAGACTGAAGGAAAATAGTACAGAACAGAGAACATGAGTAAAATGTTGTGTGTGTGTGTTCAAATTATCTAACAATTAATACAACATGTCACATAACATTCACCCTTTCCAGCCCTCGCAAAGATGACTGCCAGCCATGTGGCTGACTAAAGATGGGGGCAATTCACATGTTGCTTATATCCCAATAGGAAGTCATGCCACATGTTTCCTTTAAGATTATCTACACATAGATTTTTTTTAACTATCAACTCCTTGTTATAAATTTTTAAGTTAACTTTTTTTCATAGATTTTACAGATTTTAATCATATCCAATAAAGTAAACTTTTAAATCTTGAGGTATAGAATGTTCACATAAACCGAGTCTAAATTTTTGGCTGTTCTGCTTTGTTTTCTTTCCCCTGTTTCTGTGTCAGATGCTTTAAACTGATAAAGGACATAAATAAAATTTTAAGGATGCTTAAGCCAGCTTTCCAATAAAATTGAACAGCATAAAACAATGTTAATGTTATCCACAACCAAAAGACCTCTGAACTCCTGCTAAATGGAATCCAGTGACCAG